GGTGCGCCGGATGTCAGTCTTCCTTGAAGCGTAGCGTTGGCCGGACGGCGGGCGGTATGGCATCGGCAGTGGTGGCGGCGGTGCCTGGCGGAAGAACTACGGCGGGGTTGTGTCCTGACGAGGGTGTGGAGGAGCATTGCGGCGCACTGCAGTGGCGTAGCTCATTGCTTCCAGTTCAGGCTGCGGTGCTTCTGCGATTCCAAGCGACTGCCAAACTGCTTCGCGGACAATGTCAGCGATCGAATTAGCTTGAGGCTGTGTTGAAGGCAACAACTTCCGCAGCTCCTTCCGTACAATCGCTCGAATCGTCTCGCGCAGGTCGTCGGTACTGAAAGCATCAGCGCAGTTCAATGAGGCGCGGCAGTTGTATTGCGTTGTGCGCATCTTAAGCGCTTTTTTTATGGTTGTGGCCTCGGCAAGAAATTCGTTGACAGTCTTGGGCGGGTTCCAGACAAGTCCCGCAAACAGCTCCTGCTTGACTCCGCGCATGAGGAACCGGAGCTTCTTTTCCTCAGCCATGTTAAAGTCGGCGTGTCGAAGAAGCCGGGTCATCTCTTTGACGAAGAGGGTTATGCTTTCATTAGGAAGTTGCACCCTTGTCTCCAGCAATGTGGATGACGCTCGTGAGCGCGCGTAGAAACGTCGCCTGAAAGAGTTCCCAGGTTTGTAGTGTGGATTCGTGGTTTTCATACTACGTCTTCGCGTTGTCTTCTAAGTAGAAATAGACGCGGCGTAATTTTTCCTCGGAGTCCCAGCTGTTCAAGGCGGCGACTCGGTTGCATATTTCGATCCAGCTTCTGGGTCCTCGCCTGACAATCCATGGAACGTTCGGGGTTGTTTCGGCTGCCGGAGAATGACTGGGGCAGGCTGCACGGGGGCGGTCATGGTTGCTGTATTTGATGTCGGGATCGGGGTTTGCCTGGCTGCTTCAGGAAAGGGCCCGTGCTCTGGTTGTAGTCCCCTCTGCCTGCGGCTTGTTCGCTGTTCAGGGTTGGTGTCCGTGTCTTCTTTGCCGCTTGGGCTGGTCTCGCGGCTTGAAGTGGGCGTCGGGAACATCAAAGAAGCAACACCTCCACCAGATGTCACGGGGTCGTGACGTCGACGAAGAAGCAAAAAGTACGTTGAAGATTAAACTGTTTATTTGGGCGAACCTGTGCCCGGTAAACGGAAAGTTGGATCACAGTAGCAGGCTTGCACTGATAGCGGCGAATGAAGCGTCGGCCGTCGATAAAACTGACAAGCGGCGAAGCGCGTCGGCGTTTATACATTTGCCGTCGAATATTCTTGCGTTATCGCAAGCGGTGACGTAGGCTCTAGAATAATCTGTATAGTTCGCAGAGTGGGCGTGATCTTATCTAAATGATTTACTCCACTCCTGAAGGTTCTTGAAAACTGCAGGAGCGGCGGTTTGTGCTGAGAATTACGTAGTGTATTGGGGCGATAACAAAACTTGAGAACAAGAACGTGGCAATATACATTTACCGTCCTGAAATTTTCTGGCTATGTTTTTAAAGTGAAATATTAATATTGATAATATGAACAAATGACATCACTTTTTCCTGTGTAGCATCACCCTGGATCAATTTGGACTTGTGGTATCGAATGACATTCAAACCTTGTCACGCTCACGCTTCCAGTGGTACGGGGGTATAAAATTATCAGCATACAACGAAAAATAGATTTGTTGTTTGTTAAGTTTGTTTGTGAATGAGAATTGCCATCCACCTATGATTCTTTGTAGACCGGAAAACACAAATATGCTAGTTGCTTCATATTCAAAGAAAAGTGGCGCACAAAAAAGACGGAGACAAAGAAGAGAACCACACACAGCGCTGCACTCTGTGCGCTGTGTGTGGTTCTCTTCTTTGTCTCCGTCTTTTTTGTGCGCCGCTTTTCTTTGAATATGAATACACACCAACTCGCCCAACTTTCTATTCTGTTATGCTAGTTGCAGTGATGTGTCACTAACACGCTAGAATTTTCATTTGTTTATGCTAAGTAGTTCCTGAGAAAAGGGCACACAAGCTTCAAGAAATGTTGTTTAAAAAAAAGCACAAATGATATCTGGGTTGATGGGTCAAAGAAAAAAGACCAAAGATATTTTTCAAAGCCGCAAGTGGGATACATTTTCCGAAAGATAAAAAAATTCTCTATAATGCAGTTGCAAAATCTAAAATTAAATTTTTTAACCAACGGGCCCTACTGTAAACACGAATCTGCTGCAACTACAGGCATAATTTCAAAGCTACCTGATAGACTAAATGTTGTTCTGCATTTCTGGTAAGGTGCATGCATACGCATTTCAGCTGTGTGCAAAGTGATTTCTGTATAGCGAAACACCGAACAGTCTGAAAATGGATGTTTGGCGGCAATCTGCTCCTAAATTTACGCTATTCTATAATTATTTCAAAAGGAGTTTGAGGACTTTTTGAGAATAATCATTTGCCCATATTGCAGCTGTTCAGTGGTAGAATCTGCACATATTAAACGCAAGTTGATTATATTTTATGAGCTCTACACTGCCTGACATTGTCCAGAACAGCCCGCTAGAAATCCGTATGGATTTTCTTGCGACTTCATGCTACAAACTGGTGGTTGTCTTCTTTCCCTCTCTTAACCCTTCCGCCACCTTGCGGGTTTCCGCAGAACCCATTTGCAATACTTGTGTCCATGTGCCTCGAGTTGTCAATAAATTGCCCCTCGCGCTGTCAATTGCTAGCTTCCTGGTTTGCTCAATTGGCAGAGCAACTACCCTGGAAAGGCGTTGGTCCCGAGTTCGAACCCCGGGCCAAGACGAATTTTTCGGCAACTAAGAGGCTTTTCTTTCTGAGAAATGTGCATGGATGTCCTTGTGGTTTCGTGCTACAAACGGGTGGTTGTCTTTCGCTTTTTTAAAGGGACACTAAAGGCAACTATAATTTGATGTTGATTGCTTAAATGCCGATAATTGGGGTTACTTTATGACACGCAGTCGGGTTTCTGTATTTTAAATCTCGTGCCACGACCAGGAATAGACGAAAAGCAATAGGCCGCTTAAAAAGCTCGCTTGATGTGCCAAGTGACCTAGCGACAGCCGGCCAAACTTCAGATGCTACGTAGCCACTCTAGATGCCGACATGTTGAATGGGGTTTTGGCGTGCATTCTTGAAGCATCGAAACTTTATGTGCTCGACCCGTCCCCACTAGAAAAACCAGTGAAAACTGGTATCTACTTGTTATTGTTTTTTGTAGGGCAAAATAAACTGTAGCATAAATTTAATCAAGTCATGTCTGTTTGAGGTTATTGGAAGGGAAATGAAATATTGATACTTCGTGGGCTAACTTTGTGACACGCCAACTGGCACAAAGTTACCCCAAGAAGGGCAGTTCTTTTTAAGGTTTCAAAGCTAGATGGCCTAGGAAGAGGTCTCCTCTTGAGGATAACAGCACAGAAGAAAGTAGTGACACGAATCGTCTTCAAATGGTCAGCACGGTGACAGCAAAAAGTGGTCGCAAGGAGGTACAAGTGATTCCGAGGTACTCTCCGAAAGTCTTGACAACTTGTCTAGAATAGACACCACTTCCATTATACCAAATACTAGCAACGTCTCAAGGGCCCATGGTGCGGGCTTTAGAAAAAGAACCTTCAAGACGGATCGTATAAACTTTGAACAACAACTTTACCCGGGAAGAGTGACGGCATTCAAACCTGATGGGCGCATCTTCAGCACTATGAAGAGGACCCAAAACAATTGGAGATGGGCTCACCGCAAAGATGCAATTTTGTACTCAAAAGAAAAAAATATGTACTCATTTGAATACCCTGGGCCAGTAGGAAAATTGGACATCTTTGAGATAACAGCTCCTGATTGAAGAGGTACATTTATAAATAAGGTTTCATAAAATTGTAACGTTGCTAGAGCCGAAACCAATTGTAGATAACTCAAACTTTTGATGGGGTAACTTTGTGCCAGCCTTTTTTTCCTATCATAATCAGCCAAAAACAACGTTGTCACAAAGTTGCCCCACACGATGGGGCAACATTGTGGCAGCTTTTAACTTAGATATAACTGTTTGTGATGAAAAATGAGGATTTATAGAACATTCCGTTGTGCGAGGGAAGGTTTTAGAAACCATTATTCATTCGCCTTTATTTTGGCAATTCTCTAGCAAGGGAACGTGCCAACCCCATTTTAAGAAAGTGGTCCAGAAACCTCGTAGTGCTACTTTTGTGCAAAACCATTATTCATTCGCCTTTATTTTGGCAATTCTCTAGCAAGGGAACGTGCCAACCCCATTTTAAGAAAGTGGTCCAGAAACCTCGTAGTGTTACTTTTGTGCCAAGAAAGTGTTTATTTTCAAATAAAATTGCCCTCCTCAAGCAGAATGTGTCACGTCACTATTGCCGTGCACAACGTTGCCCAGCCTCACTGCGCGTCCTTTGACGCTAGTAGCAAAACGAAAGTAGCGGGAGCCCCAGCAGCAACAACAGCCATTGAACAATTTCCTGCCATGGCCTGTGAGATGGCAGACGACGTGCTTGGTTCAACTGGGCCCTGCTAGATGGCATGACCTGTCCAGTTTACCCAGGCCAAATTGAACTTTTGAGCCACTCGCTCAATTCCTCATAGTAACGTTCAGCGGTTTTTATTTCTATTAGTCAATTAGAAACGAACAAGCAGCATTTTATTACGTCTCTTGATGTACGGATGGTTTCGTTATTTAGTGCAGGTAGTTCAATTACTCGTGATTAATTGTATGCAATACCTCTGACTTGCGTAATCGGGATCATTTTGCGAATGTTCTATCGTAGCGCATGTGTTCTCGTGCATTTACCTTAATTTCTCGGTTAGTAGGGCACTGCTGCTGATAATGCTGTCGCTTTAGACGAGCTTTCACTCTGACATGAATTGTTATTTAGCTTTATTGTCCCCTTAACCCTTCCGCCACCTTGCGGGTTTCTGTAGAACTCATTTGCAAAGCCTGAATGAAAGCTGATATGAATCCTTCTGTTCTTTCAGCTACCGGAGGCATTAAGAAGTCTGGGAAGAAATGAAGCTCTTCGGAACACTGATGACTGATTGTTGTACAAAACTTAATGAATTTTTTGCCCAGGGGTGTTCCTCTTTTGTGTTTTTCATTGCCCTATTTTATTATACTAATTACATGGATTCTTTCGGCTGATTTTTGCCATCGGCATTTGTCTCCGCTGACATTTGTATATCGTTTGTGTGTGTTTAACCAGGGGTGAAACAGCTGCGCATATTGTGCGTTTTCTGACAATTTTTCGTTTTCTAGCGCCAAGTTGCTTCAAAAAGCTAAAGATCGTGAAACTTCCTTTGAAACTGCTTCAAAAGCAAGAATTTTAATGCCAACTTGAGCTTCCGTGGGGAAAAATGGCTGAGTTGAGTACATGATTTTTCGAGCAGCGCCAGGAATACCGAGAAAATAAGTTCTGGTGACTGTAGACTCACATGGTACCACTGTAACCTCCTCTGGACTGTTGTGAGTATGCGTAACCCCCTTGTGCTAGATATAGGCTGTGTGTTCTGGCGCCACTGTCACTTAGCGAAAACTACCGAGTTAGCAACTCCGTCAAGGCCTGACCACACGTACGCGTAGCAGCGTGAGGTTTTCTCCCGATGCGCCGCGTCTTCCTATGGAAGGAGTGGGCATGCAGCTTCGCATAGCCATGCATTCTATTGGGAGAGGACGTGGTGCCATCTCACAAAACCCCGCGTGTAGTCAGGCCTTAACTTAGTGGCATGTGTAGCACTCTCAGGTTCTTTGTTGTGCGTAGCGCGTTCTTCCGGCCGCTGCGGTGTTCATGTCGACGCTGCTGCGTGCGGTCACCTATGCGGTCGTTTTGCTGTGAGCGAGTATACCTTGTTGCGCAAACATTGAGTCATCCCCGTGCATGCGACCAGTCTCTCGTCAATTCTCAAACTGGGTTCTGTGAGCAACAGAGCTCTTGCAACCCGCTCCCTGTCTACCCCCATTGGCAATTTTGTTAAATGAGAGTTTTCATTGCATTTTGCATTTAAAAAAAAAAAGAAGCCATTGCACACCAAATCTGCACATCGTTGTCAGCAGGTAGCGAAAGACTCACTTGGTTGTAGTACTAAAGACTCGTCCATAGTTCACGCTATGAAATTTGCACTGTTTGCAAATTTGCAGAACGCGCGTGACCTCTGTGCTTTATTTGGGACTCATGATGTAACGGCGATCACGTGGCACTGTTTTCCTAAACACCGATTTGCAATACTGCTCCATTTTATAGTCTAAACTAGCAATGAGCGTTTAATAGGCGTCGCAACGTGACGGCTCTGGGCTACACGAGCTTTTAGGGTCAAGTTTCGACCGGTGTTCCGCTATTTTGGCAGTGTTACTATCATACATTTTTTTCCCCCACAAATCTGATTGTGCGTTCGGCGGTTTGTTTGCGTGGACACATTGCTTTTCTGCGGTACGAGCGCTTTTCTGCGGAGCAGCGCGGGTGGCAACCGCAAGTCTATGTATTATGAGGAGTTTTACATCAACGGTTATGATGACCTTCGATATTAAAGAAAAAAGAACAGCTCAATTCCTAGGCGGCGATTCCAGTCGCCGCCTATGGAAAAAGTAAATCGACGAGTGAATTCGACAAAAGCGCTTAAGAGGTGCTCCTAAATCTTGTACTTAAACATAATAACTTTGAATTCGACCAAAAACATTATCTGCAAGTAAACGGAACTGCCATGGGAAGCAAAATGGCCCCAAATGACGCAAATATTTTCATGGCCTCTTTGGAGATTCCTTTCCTCGAAAATTCTCCATTCTAACCTATATTTTACCGACGCTTCCTCGATGATATATTCTTCGTGTGGGCCGATAGTGAACATAATCTTTCCAAATTCATTTCCGGTTTCAACTCCCTGCATCCTTCTATAACATTCACGCACACGTATTCGCAGAAGAGTGTTCACTTTCTGGATGTCACTGTATCACTCAGTGGCACCACCATATCTACTTCCCTGTATAAAAAACCAACTGACCGCCAACAGTATCTGCATTTCCGTAGCAGTCACCCCATCACTGCAAAACAGGTGTTCCTTACTCTCAAGCCCACAGATACAGAAGAATTTGCTCTGAAATCACGCAATTTGACACCCACGCACAGGAATTGAGAGCAGCCTTCTTGCGTCAAAAGTACCCCGAAAAAATAATTGACAATGCAATTGAGCGCGCTCGCTCTTTGGAGCGCATCGCCAACGAAGGCGCCCGACGCGACAGCGGCGTCGCTGGTTTTGGACCGAGAATCAACAATGGGAGAAAAAGGCGGGAATAAAGATGATATAACTTCAGGGGCAAATTTAATCCTCACATACTGCGCCGCCGCCCCTCGGGTGAATTCTATACTAACCCGCCACTTCAACATACTTAAACAGAGTAGTCGCCTCTCTACCATTTTTCAGACTCCGCCCAAGGTGGTTTACCGAAGAAATGAAAACCTGTGAGACTTACTGGTCAGGGCGAAAACACACAAATCCGACCACCATCAGGGCTGTAGACCGTGCGGGAAACCTCGCTGCAGGGTGTGCACACACATGGTGACCACAGATACGGCCGAAGCCTTCTGCTCAGACTATGTGTACAAAATCAAAGACGACCTTAACTGTGACTCAGCCAATGTGGTATACAAAATTCGCTGTGAGGTGTGCAAACAGGAATATATTGGACACACGGAAACCGCGTTCCGTTTGCGTTTCAACAACCACAGGGCACACGTAAAGGGCCTCCCCAATTTGCCGTTCTCCAAACATATCAATCTTCCTGGTCACTCTTTCGAACGCGTAAGTGTCATACTCCTACAATCCGGCTTCCAGAACACACGGGAGCGCGAACAGCGGGAGTTATACTTCATAAAGAAATTCAGATCACTTACCCACGGAATCAACGAGAGCCCTGGGCGACTGACGTGCCTCCGCGACGTTTCGTGAAACACAGAAATTGAATAACTCAGTTAATTTATACATACGTGAAGTCGCACACGTAAGTTGGTCAATATAGCGCATGAAACTAAACGAATTCGATGCTACGTGAACCAAACGGCGTGTGTTATACCCCTGTCACACGGCCACCACCAAACTCCGTTGTACACCGTCAACGTAAATCTCCCCTAGGGGGTTCGACGGAGAAGGAGTTGTGGCAGTGTCACACGGCAATGACAAGGTTGTAACAGTTGCCGCGAGGGGGCTCAGCTGGCGCTGTTTGATTTTCAGAAAAGTATTCTAATTTGATCCCTATTGATTTTTTTGTGAATCCTCGTTATGCGGTTTTTACAAAAAAAGCACTATAAAGAAGGTATGCGACTAACAAACCATTAAAAATAATTTCAAATAAAAGCGCATTTGCTAATTGTAGCAATGCTGCTAGTGACGCTGGCCACATTGTGCTTTTAGTTGTTTTGTTGCCCGTGTACATGCCCGGTACGAAAGTTCTTATGCTTCCTTGCCTCGTGAGCGCACATTTTGTGTTCTTCAGCCATGAGTGACACAGCGGACGACGTGAGAAAGTGGTGCGATATTGCGCTGGTAATTACGTTGATCGGCTGGCGCCGGCCGGCCCGACTCGCGAGGCACGGTGTGTAGGGCATCGGTGTTGAGAGTAAGTGAACTCTGGCGGGCGTAAATATTGTAAACAAACACGCGTTGTGAATGAGTACTACAACGAAAGAACGTTTAATATTGCTAAAATGTATTATTCTTTCACTGCGGCCACTTAGTGCTCGAAATTTTTCTCTGACCTCTAGACTGCTGAGGACGAGAGTACCTCGTTCCGCTGCGAAGGGAGATCGTTGAACGTCCTTTGCGAAATGCTCCGTTCACCTTCGTTTGCGTAAGGGTGGCCGTGTGATACCAACCGCATCTTCGTTGTCGTAAAGACGAAGGAGTGAAACGGTCTTCACGGTTGCCCGTGTGACAGGGGTATTAGTATCATTAGACTTTATTTTCATTTCTGAGTACTTTTTTTAGTATTATTTAACTTTTATTTTTTGTTTACGTTTTTGTTTGTTCATCCTTTACAAGAATGCCCATTCATTTTCAGTATGACTGGTTGTACAGTTTTCTGCAAGAGAGGGCGGGTGGAGGGAGGGGGAGAGGGCACATTAGCTTTTCAACGTGGCCATTATTTTCCGAAAGCTGGAGCGGGTCGTATGCTTCTTGTGTGCGTGTGTGTGTGTGGCCCGATGCCGCGGGCCAGCCGCCGAACCACGTGAACTTAAACTCGATCCATGTGTGGGATGCGAGTAAGCGGCAACATGTTCCACATTTTTCCGTTTTTCTTGGTCGCCTCCGCTGGCGGCGCGTCTTACCTATACCCAGCAACAATGCCAGAATTACCCGCTCGTCTCCGGCGGCTCTCCGTCACTCCTTTCTAGTTCCTCTCCTTCTTCTGCTTCTTGTTGTCTGTTGCTACCTCGTTCGCCCGTTTGTCTCGTTTTTTTTTTCTCTTGATCGTTTTGGAGGGTCTTCAAACTTTGAGGGTGACCCTCTGCTACGGGAACTTGTACCATTTCACTTAGTTCCTCCGAAGAAGGCTGGTCCACCAGCCGAAACTGTTAGGAATAAATAAATATTTTATTGTTTTGTTTCCTATACTGCACTATTCTCGAAGTTTATAACTTTTATTGCGGTAGCCGGAAGAAACTCTGATCATCTATTTCATATATATATATATATATATATATATATATATATATATATATATATATATATATATATATATATATATAGAGAGAGAGAGAGAGAGAGAGAGAGCATCGAACGCGTTATTCGAAGGTCGTACGTTCGATTCCTGCTCACGGCTGGTTATTTTTTCATCCACTTTTCTTTCTTATTTAGATTCCATTGGTTCTAATAACTTCCCCTGTACATTCCTTAGCATTACTGTCTGTTAGATCTCATTAATATTGCGTTAAAACACGGAAAACGAGCCGTTAGGTATACACTTCTTTCCCTTATATATATATATATATATATATATATATATATATATATATATATATATATATATATATATATATATATATATATCTTGTGAGACGACGTCAGGTACGAAGGAGCGACCGTTTTATTGTCAACCC